TCTGGAATGATCTGTGTCCACTGGGTACCCATAAAAACACCCAGTCTAAACTTTCTCATCAGATTTCTAAAGGTCTTTCTAGTATTGTTTTAATAGAAGGCAGTGAAATTTTTCATTCTTGCAATGAATAGTGGGGAAATTAGAGTATGTATTAAACACAAGAGCTTGAAAAAACACCACTGCATCTAGCATGAAAAGCTTTGACACTGACTGTTTCTTGCAGTCCCAGAAACTCTACACAACCTCCCCAAAAGGTTCTGCCAAAGATATTGGGAAGTAAAAAGGTAAAAAGCAAAATGAGGGCAAGATGACAGAAAGGAGACACTACTCTCACTCTCCAAGGAATACTTCAACTCTAATTAAAAGTAATGTTAAAAATGCATTAGTCATTAGCAAACAAGGTCACGGACACAGCTGCCCAAAGCGTGTTCACAGAGAGCAGAAATCAGCAGCAGAGATCTCTGCAAAGCACTTCACCACAGCCACTGCAGGCTGCTTTTTATTACCTGTGTTTTCCCTGAGTCCCACCCCTTCACCCAGACAAGGTCCTCAGAGAGGTTCCAGAACTGTCACTGGCAGTGCTACACACTGCTGTAAAACAGCACCTTTCCCCAAAAATGTCCCCCATCAAAGCCGTGTGTCTTTAAACACTGAAATGGAGGCGTTTGTAAACCTTAGTTCTGCAGCTCACCTGCACCAGCAACAACCTTTTGCTGGGTGAGCCCTGAGTCTCCAACAGTATTTTTGTTCTGAGAGTTTGCATGCCCCCCCTTGAGCAAAAATTAACATGAAAGGTTTTGCAGCAATGTTTGAAGGGACAGAGACTGACAGATCTTACAACTTTTCTATTTAAAAAAAGAAATCCAATATTCTTCATTTCCATACTCTTCCTAAACGGAAACCTTTAATATAGAATATTTTTAGGCTGGAAGGGACCTCTAGAGGTTATCTGGTCCAGCCAGATATGGATCCTGCTGCTCAGGCATAATAAATCCCTATAAACTAAATAACTTTCTATAGAAAATCTTTGAAAGTTTTATAACTTAACTATTGTTATATATCCTCCACTTATCACCATTTCACTGATCTTCACAGTTCCTTTGGCTGCTTTGCACTACACACAGTTGTTTTTAATCAATTAAAAACCAAATCAGAGCAGAAAAAAATGTGGTTTGGTTTTGGAGTATGATGAAAATGCTGGGTTTAATGTCTCCTGAAGAGTATAAAAATAACATTTACTCATTTAAAGTGCTGAGTTTGATTGCAAAACTTATAGTGCAGTTTCTTTAGTCAGTGTGCCTGCAAATCTGGCATGCAGGAGTATTCACTTGCTGCCAATTAAGCCTTTATTTAGAAATTTAGGTTAGCTGAATAAAGGCTGGGATCTGTACAATGGTTCAAATCCCAGCTGTTTGTGTGAAGCAACAGGTTAGATGTGCAAAGGTAGCTCAGCTGGGAAGAGGCTTCACAGTCAGCTAGTCAGACAGGTCAGCATAAGTTATAACTTCACAAGCTATTTCTGGGAGCATGCCAGAAGGAAAATGGACCTGGCTGTTGCAAAACTAATGAGCTGAAGTATGGCTCCTGTTCAGATCACCGAGTTCTCCAGGGGCCTTAATTACAGAGGCAGAGAGCTTCTGCATCAGGTAGTGAGATTTCACTTCACATGGACGAATCTCCAAGTTTTAAACCAGCCTGGTATTTCTTGTGCAAAAGGCAGGGTAGGTTTGCTGACATGCTGCTTTACTGCAGGGTGACAATGCAGAGGCTGAGCAGTGGCTGGGTGTAGTAAACGGTCAACAGTCTGAGTGACTTCTCAGAGCTGCAGGCAGGGCACACTAAACTTAAGTATCATTCAAAGTAAGGAATCAAAATGAGTGCCCTGAACCTAAATCTGTCCATGTGTTTCTCCCAGCCCTTTACCTCCTGACTCTCACCACCAGCTCTGAAGCTGCAGAGGCTGCTGTGCTGGTGGCACTTGCACAGGGCAGCCCTGGAGCCCACCCACCCCCAGGCGCCTGGGGCGTGCTCCTTTCTCCTTTGGGACACCCTTTCTTGTCTAACCCCTTCTGAAGCACCCCAAGCCAGTGTAAGACACACGACAGTACAGAGCCCTCAGTTTCTTTGCAGTATGTTGTACTTTTCATGGAAGGCCTGGGGATCACCACTGCAAGGCTGCTGTCATTCACCCTTCCACACTGCTCCCCTTGGCACTAAACCCGGCTTACAACTGCCACGTAAAGGCTGGGCAAGCTCCCTCTGCCATGGGACCATTCTGTACTGTGAATCATTTATTCCTAAAGGACACCAAGAGCAGACAAAGACCAGCCAGGGCCTTTTGCCCTCCTGCCATTTCCTATTGGTACAGGCCATGCCATGCAAGCGCTTGAGCTGCTGCCCATTTACAAACCAAAAGCAGTGGCCAAGAGAATGGAGCACTTTTCCTGGGCCCTGAAAATGTCTCTCTGTCTTTTTCTTCTGCCACACTTCCAGCCATCCTGCCTACTGCCCTACTTATCTGGACGTGTTTGCTGTGAGAACACCCCTCTCTGCAGCCTTACAGCAGTATCCTGAGCCTGAATGCTGAATCCTTCCATGAGTTGCTCTTCCCACCCCTCCCAGGAAAGACCCGGTGACTTTGGACAAGTCTAACCAGGCAGAGTAATGCTAATGTGATTAGTTCCTCATGGGTATAATGTTGTAACATCATTAGAAACTGAAAACTGAATATAAAATGCCATTACATTCTAATTTTAAGAATTAGCTTTACTCTGACTTTCCACACACGGTTTGAAAGGTTGTGGCCATACGGTTTTGAAATATCATTGAGACAGACTTTCCTTCTTGGGTTTGCTTTCTCCCTCACCTTCCTGAGTGCAGTTTTGTGGGTTTATTGAAGGGGACAGCCAGTGTTTCTGTGGCAGCAGCTCAGGAGCAGCCACGGAACACTGACTTCACACCCTGCCTGCAGCCCTGCGCCACGTCTCACCGAGCCCACCAAAGGATCTGGGACCTGCTCCTGGGAACAAATGCAGATCATCTGCTTATCTGCCAGGGGGACAGCTCTGATAACACCAACCATCTGACTGTTTGCTCCTTACCTCCTTGTCTTCCCAAATCAAATCTAACTGAAAGGCTGGAAGATGAGCTAGTAATCCAGCTCTTTGGGCTGAAACCTAACTGTGGAGCAGAGTGCTGTGAGGAAGCATCTCTAAGCTTGTGAGACACCAGGGAACACTGGCAATACTTTGGGACAGCTCTGTCACCTGAGATTTCCAGACATAAGTTCAGATATGCTTTAAAACACTGACAGGGCAGAAAAGAAAATAGAGAGCATAGAATCATAGAATGGTTTGGGTTGGAAGGGACTGTCAAGATGATTTTGTTCCAACCCCTGGGCAGGGACACCTCCCACTAGAGCAGGGTGCTCCAAGCCCCATCCAGCCTGGTCTGGAACACCTCCAGGGATGGAGCATCCACAGCTTCCCTGGGCAGCCTGGCCAGGGTCTCATCACCCTCACAAGTACAGATGGGCTGGGACAGCCTCTCAAACTGAACAGACTCAGTTTGGGTAAAAGAGACAGAGTCAGAAGTTAAACAGAAGAGATGGAAAGCACCAGGGAAGTGAACTGATGTCTAGCATGAGAGATGGACAAATACTCGGTTCGAATAGAGCAGGCTTTAGCTGCAGCATGGGGGAAGGTGAGAGAACGGGCCCACATTTGGTTAAAAAAGACTCAAGATGAAAGTTTCACTGAGGCAGAAAGGAAAAACCCCAACACGTTTTCCCTCAAACAACTTCTTCCTTGAAACAGCTGTTTTATAGCTAAGAGTATTTAGGACAACCCAGATGAGTGCATTAAAAGAATGCTACCCAAGGTCATTAGCACAGGAAGAACTTGAATAACTGACAACAGACTTTCATGATCAAGAAAGGAGAGAAAAGACCTCTGAAATTTGTAGGCTCAGTGTGTTTTTCTCCCTTTTCGTGTGAATTCAAAGAAACTGTTACTTGACCTCAACCTGTTCTCCCGAGCTCTTCTCCACCAACCTTTTATCTCTCACCCTCCTTCTGCACAGACATCCCCCCTCAGGCACAGCCCAGCCACCAGTGATTCCATGCCAGGTAACACCAGTGTACTCTGTAGCCCTCACAAAGTCTCTCTGCGAGCAGCTGGGGGCTCAGTGGCATCAGGCTGTGTGCTAGTGCTCGTTGGGAGGCATGAACTGCCAGATGATCTCCTGCTGGAGCTGGATTAAGGGAGGCTTTGGGGTCAGGTGGGACATGTGGAGCAAAAGTCTGGATTCCCTATGCATGCAATCCCCCCTCTCCCTCCCTCATGCTTTTCTGAAAATTACTGGGTCAAATACTAGAATTCTATGTCCTGCACAGTTCCAGCCATTTCAATTTAGTCCTAATACTAGAAGAGGTGCTATTTTAATAAAAAAAAGCCAAAATCGAGGTACTGAAGAGAGCTTGAAACACAGAGTATCGCAGCATAATACTTCCAGGGAAGGGTTGACAATCACAGTTGCCTAAAATGGGGATTTAACTCTTCTGTAGCAGCTTTAGAGCTGAGAAAATCAGAGGAAAAATCCGTTTTCCTGGGGAGCGGGTGCAGAATATTTAGCTGCTCAAAGGGCTTACTGTCGAAAATATATTTACCCCAGAGAAAATGAAATCTGGAAGAGACCCAGCTCTGGGCTGAATGAATTCAAAAAGGCTCTTTCACTGCCTGTGTAAGCTTAGTCTATAAATCAAAATTATTAAGGCTCCATTTTCAAATTTTATTTCCTAGCTGGGAGGAGGAGCTGCTGCTCCAGAGAAGCCAGCATCCTGTCAATGGATTCGGTCGTCGGCAGCATGCAATGAGTCTGACCAAGAAGCAGTTTGGGTCCCTGCAGGCAGCACACAGACCATTTGAGCAAGAAACCCTCTTTCCCGCCGGGACACACAGACAGAGAGAGGCGCAGACTGCCCGGGGAGCACCGAGCTTTACCTTTCTGGAGCTTAGATGCGTTGTCCTGTATCCAGCTGAACAGATTGGCAAAGTCACAGTCACAGACCCAGGGGTTGCCCTCTAGGCGGATGGTGCGCAGGGAGGGCAGCGCTTCCAGGGCGGCCACCTTCAGGCTCTGCAAGTTATTGTCGTTCAGTTCTAACACCTGCAGCTGTTCCAGGTTCTCAAAAGCAGCCTCGTCCACATCCACCAGGTTATTGTTTCCCAAGCTCAATTTGAGAAGTTTTTCTGCCGATTTGAATGTCCCAGCGTCCAGCTGCGTTAAGTTGTTGTAGCTTAAGTCTAAGTACACCAGTTTGGTAGAGCTGCTGAAAGTGCCCTCCTCTAGAGAGGTGAGGGAGTTATTCCTGAAGTCCAAATAGACCAGATCTCCATAAAAGATAAAGAAATCAGCCGGTATCGCCTGAATGTTGTTATCAGCGATCAGAAGTTTCCGCACATCCAGTGGGAAGGGGTTGGGGACGGTGGGGAGCCCTTGATCCCGGCAGTCTATGGTGTGGGAGTCCATGCAGCTGCAGGCAGCGGGGCAGGAGTGCCCCCCGGGCAGGAGGAGCAGGCAGACGGCGAGGGAAGGCGGCAGGAGGCAGAGAGGGAAGCATGGCAGCATGGTCGGGGCTCTGCCGGCGGGGGAGCAGCGCTCCTACGGGCGGGACATGCTGC